AATGCCCCTGTTTTAAAATTCCCTGAGGGGGACGAAAAACCTGGAAATTGCGGCAGATGCATCAGACTATGCGGTGGGTGGGTGCGGTTCTTATGCAAAATAACCATCCGCTGGCATTTTTAGTAAAACATTGAATCAAACACAAAGGAATTATACAGCTACAGAAAGAGAAACATTAGCCGTATTAATGGCTGTACACAAATTTCGAGTTTATTTCGGCAAATCGCCAGTAACAGTCTTTTCGGATCATGCGGCTGTTGGTAGACTTTACTCGGGAAAAAAACCTAACGCCCAGGTTAATAAGATGGGCTTTAAAACTCCAAGAATATAATATCACAATAAAATATAAACCGGGTAAGGAAAACAATGTAGCTGACGCACTTTCTCGTATAAAACTGGACGATGAAGGATAATGAACTTAAATGCGCTGTGTTGACTTCAAAAATTTTAGATTCTAGAGATACGGTTATTACTGAACTGAAAGCTGATCCTGAATTTGGAAATATCTATGCTTATTTGAAAGACCCCGAAAGCTTTGAGCATACAGATATCGATGCGATAAGAAATAGAGCAAAAAACTATGAAATAATAGATAATTTATTATTCTATACGAAAACAACAACGAACGAAATCTTGAGTATAAGCCAGTCATCCCAGCCTCGCTTCGATTAAGCATTTTGAAGGAGTTGCACGAAAAAAAAACAGCGGGCCACCTCGGGGTCAGAAAGACTTTAAAAAGGGTACGCGAGGCGGTATATTTCCCGCAATTATACAAAATAGTAACGGCGTATGTCAGGTCCTGCAATCAATGTCAGTTAATAAATGATATTAATTACAGCCCGGCCGGGTACTTAAATAGCATTCGCGCTACATTTCCGAATGAAATTTTAGGCATAGATCTCCTTGGTCCCTTCCCCCAGAGCGAGTTAAATAAAAATCGTTTTCTTTTAGTAATAGTAGATCATTTTTCAAAATGGATAGAAATTGTTCCACTTAAACGCGCGTCAGCCAAAACAGTCGCAGATGCATTCTTACACAGATACATTTTAAAATACGGTGCACCGATAAAAGTCATTAGCGATAACGGAAAACAATTCATTAGTCAAATATTTGAAAACATATGCAATGGACTTGGATATACGCCATATCAAAATGGTTCCGTATAGACCACAGGCTAACATAGCAGAAAGAGTTAATAAAAAAACATTGTAAAAATAATTCGCAGTTACGTTAGCACACATCACAAGCGCTGGGATGGCTACATAAATGAATTAGCTTATGCTTTAAGAACGGCAACATCATGATACTACGGGAAAAACTCCAGCAGAATTATTTTTAGGCCGAAAGTTAATTACGCCTTTAGATATAAATTATTCTTTGTGCAACAAAGAGAGCAGGAATTTAAACAAAAAGACGTGCAAAAAGCTTATTGATCAGGCGCTTAAAAGCTCGGATACGGCAAGAAATAGGACAGAAAATTTATTATGATAGAAAACGCCGTGAAGCAGATTTTAAAGTTGGGGATAAAGTATTGAAGCGGAAATTTTCTTTATCAAGTGCCCCAGACAATTTTATGGCAAAAGCTAGCTCCAAAGTTTGAAGGCCCCTATGTAATTCAGGAAATCAAAGGAGTAGTCTTATATCTTAAAAACGAGAGAGGGGAAATCTGTAAAGCAAGTCCCGACCAGGTGAAAAAATACTATAATCCAAATGATTTTGAAATCCTTAAAAGTTTCTTGCAGGACTCAAGTCTAAACGAAATAGAAGGGCCAGAGACTGCAACAACTATTCCACCACCCAAGAAACGGAGAACTGAAGAGAGACCTAGCACTTCTACAACCCGGACGTCGGTATCAAAAAGAAAAAAGGATTTTCAAACTCCGGCGTTTAAGAAAAACAAAAATACAGATGAACCGGGTAAAGAAACCGTGGTAAAGACGAAAAACACCACCTATAAAAAGATGGCAGGAGAAATTACACATCAAGGAGAGAACGCGCACACGGCCACAGAGTCAGGTGCCAGCAAGGCCGCCGTTCCGGAAACTGAAACGGCCAACAGGAGGCACAAAAATACGACGAACAGAAGAAATTCAAGAAGGACTCCAGACCGGAGGACGTCAAGACCAGCCGTCCCAGGGCAGAAACGCAAAGGCCAACAACCAGACGATTACTCCGTCAAGAGGCCAGCATGTACAAGAGGACGCAAAAGAAAGAGCAACGGTGGACGACACTCGGAGATCAATAAGGAGAAGATTGACATCCATGAACCTCTAACTTGGGATCAATTTTGCCAAAAACGGATGACGAGTTTCAAGCATCGAAAACTCAAAGATAAGTTAAAACCTTCTATAAATTTTTTTTTCTCTTTTGTTCCGAAATGTTATGCATAAGTACGAAGTTCTATGTTTTGACGAAAGTCAATATGTCTCGGTTGAGACTTAGTTTTGTTTTACTTTATTTAGCTAAGGCAAAAGTATTATTTTCTTTAAGTGTAAAAGCTAAAAACAAGCATTTTCTGTTGGGTCGAAAGACTAATTCTGTTATGTTAAAGCCAAAATTGGCCGGCCGGAGACAAAAATAACTTCGTATTCTTGTACTAATAAGAATTTTAGTTTCAGTGCCGCCAGCTTGGCGAAGAATGAGTAAAGTAAAAATTTATTTTCTCTTATTCATTTTATGGTAAATTGTAAAAAGCGTATGTATTAAACTTTTGTAAGTGTATGTAAATACTTGCATGTTATGTAAAAGTAGAACTTAGTCTAGAAGCATAAAATTGTAGATGCTAAAAGTGAATGCTTAAAAGCAATGAAGTCAAAATTTAAGTATTAAACTGTAAAGTCATGCTTTAGAGCGAAAGCCTGCATGTTTAAAGATGAATGAGGGGGAAGTTAGAATGAATGTGTTTTGTAGGGTTCTCCACCTACATTTGAATTTTTAAGATATTAAAGTAGCTCATTGAGTTGTAGAATGTCGAGTAAGGTGTGTCTATTTGGTTGTTGAATTCTAACAAATCATGGTGGTTAGGGGAAGTGTTTGTAAGACTAAAACACGAATATCCCGTTTGACACCACACACGGTGGAGAGCCAGGGTAAAGTTAAATTAATGCTTGAAAAATTGAATGAATGTGAAGTAAGCAATAACTAAGAAAAACGAAACGTTAAAAACAAAAATTTATTGTGTCAAGAAAGTGTAAATTATAATGTATGTAGAAAGATACTGATACTTATTCCTTCCAGATGCTGGAAGGAAAGACCAAGATTGATTGATGAAGTCCAGGAAAAGTTGCTGTAAGAAGAAAGCTTTGTAACGACTAACAGAATTTTAATTGTTACATAAGATTTTTTTTTTGTGTAAACGAGGCTTTCGCTAGTTAGTTCAGAATTAGATAAACTTACAACAGGTCGTTTGTAGGACCTGCTTCCAAGTTTTCCAAATTCTGGCAGCGGCAAATGTAGGGTTTATATTTACTTTAACTAACATTTATTTTAAGTTTAAACTATCTTTCCTGTCAAGCCTTACTTTCCCCTGGAACTGCCAATGCCAGAATATGTAAATTTGAGTAGAACGCGCAAGCATTCAAATTATCAGCGGAAGTAGTATGATTTAAATGGAAGGAAACGAGTTCGGTGAGAGAGTTATTCTTACTTAGCGAGCGCGGAGGTAGAAAGAAATCGAGAATTGAAGAACCCGCGTTCGGCCTATGTGCTTGGCGGGAATTAGTGGAAATTGTTCCAGTGAGCTTCAAGTCTGCTGAATTAGCAGCCGTATTGTAAAACGCGGGGAGTTAGTTATTTTAGAGAGCCTCGTAGTTAGAATCTTGTCTTTATTTTCTTTTCAGGTTATTATTTTTATTTTGACTGCCTAGTTGGCACAGTTTGTAAGCGTCAAGAGGACGCAATTGTAATTTAGTACGTTGAATAAAAAGGGACTTAAACCCTTTACAAGACTCTGTGGTTTATACAAGCTTTCACAGTCACCTCTTGGTTGCGTGCTAGTTAGAGGCGCGCAACGTTATAGTATAATAAAAACTAAAACTTTATGCAGCATATTAAGCATTTTCATGCTATATCTACTAATGTAATTTTTTAACGCTGACTGAAGGTACAGTACCAAATCACTTACAGACTAAAGCACTCACGTTTCGTAAATCGTATAAGCTATAGTTTTACATCTACGTGTTGGCTATAACATTACTAATCCTATAAGAAAAATTCAAATTATAAAATCTCCTAAATATTTTTAAGAATATTATTCATCCTATAAAAATGAAATTGCTTTTGCTTCTCCATATAATCAGCCCATAAGCAGGTATTTTTTCCTAAGGATAATGCAATAATTTTTTATTAGAAATTTGTTTTCACCTTTGGAAAATTGCTCTTGCAAAAATGGAGCGTCTTGGAAATTTCGAATTTCGATGGTGTCTTTGGAAAAAAAATAAACAGAGACAGCTAAAATGTCATGCGCATACACACGCAATCATATTGTTCGATAAATAATACTAAAACAGTTTCGTTTGACGTCTCTCAATATTTGGTCTAAATTTGTATTATCATGTTCACGGGTGCACACATCTGACATATATGACAATATCGTCATATGACGATACGATTTGAAGAGCGTCAGTTCAATATGGACGATGATATCATTGATGTGGTGGTAACATGGAGTAAAACTCCGTATAAATAATTATATAAAATTAATATTAATATCGCACAGAATGCATTAATACTTTTCTAGAAGGAGTTATTATATAAAGAAATCATAATAGGTAACTGTTTATAAAATACCACTTTCCGTGGAAGATTCAAATTCCAGAAGCATCTATTTTTCTCTCTTTCTTTATTTAAATTAAATTATACACATTACCTTTAAGGACTGAAATTAAAGATATATTTTCTTTTAAGCGTAGAAATATTTTTGATTTTCCATATATTTCTATTTTGTCAGACTTATAATTATCCAGTCAGCTTTTATATAATTTTCTTTCTTCTTCCTACAGTACAGAATTTTGCAACAAGAGCAGAAGTAACAACAAGATGGACAATTTATCTGATCCTATGTTTCTTCTTTGCATATGACAATATTGTGAATGGAATCCAAAGAAGCCTCGTAGATCCTTTTGGATGACGACTACAGTAACCAAGATATTCTTTATGGATTGTTTTATTATTTTTACAAGCTGTTGCGTAATTTACGAACTCGTCTTAAAAATGTGAAAGATGATCGTGCCTAAAAAAACCTGCACCAAAAGTAAACAATTATAGAAATTTTATACACTTTATTAATGGAACTCAGTATAAAATCTCGTTACATGTGACGTTTCAAATATCATTTGAGGGAACTTTTTTTATTTTTTGCTTCCTTATGAAGTTAAAAACATTTGCTTTTGGAAGAGTCATTAGAATAACAGAAGAGTAAAAGATAAATATAATTTATACACACACACACACACACACACACACAAAAAAAAAAAAAAAAAAAAAAAAAAAAATTATTTTCCCTATTCGAAATCTGAGGAGATTGAACGCAGGTGAAATAGGATGCTACATAAATATCGGTAGTCCCAATGCGGTATGAAGCTGGCTGAAATGAAAAGAATTAGAAATTAAAAAAGTAGCATAATTATAATTCCTGATCGCTTAACTTTCTCTTTTAATTAATACTTAAACCACATCATTATAAACGTTAGTAATATTGTGCGTAGAAGAAAATTACCAATGTGAAATTAAATTTTAGGCAAAAACAATTTTCAGAAATCTAAGTATTTCGAAAATGACCGATACACTTGCCGTTTCGCTAAGGAGTTTGGATTTTTTCTTTTACCAGGAATACATCGCTTAATAACAATAAGTAATTAAACAAAAGCAGTTAAAATTGTCGGATCTAAACATTTATACAGTTTTGTAGTACTAAAGTTTAAAGATTTTTACGACATGCGATAAAAACCATGATCATCAAAGCAGAAGTTATACATCTTTTATCGCTTATCTTGATAGAATGTCGACCAACTTTAGATAGCCTAAAATGTGCTCAAAAGTGTCTCCCTTTGATGTGATAGATTTCTTTAATGCATCCAATAATTTTCAAAATTTATCTTAATAATTTTAATTTTCAGTTTGTTTAAAATTTTGAACACTTACCTTAAAAATTTTAATATTTTGTGCTCAGTTTCCTCCAAAAATGTTGCTGCAGATACTGCTTTTTCTTTCGTGTTTAATTTTATTTCACTGATTTAGTCATTGTATTTCTATCTAAATTGCACGAAGTATCTTTGCTGAAGAAGTGTAATTCTATCCATTGTCTTAGAAATTCATAGGCTTTCCTCGTTAAAAGCGAAGACAATCTGAAACTGAAATTTGCTAAATTAAAATGTTAGTAAATTCAAAGATTAGTAAAATTTAAAAGTTAATAAAATTTAGAAGATTGTATTCAAAGTATTCAATCTGTTTTCAGCTAATAATCTGTCTATGTCTGTGCTGAATGCAGTTTTTGTTTTAATGCTACGTTATGGTTTTAATATAATTACGTACAAAACTGCGTAAAAATGCCATTAACTAATTTTAGATTTTGGAAGTGACACGAAAAGGTAATTTATTACTCTTGTATAAATTTCATTTCATTATCTTCTAAAAGGTAAAATTTTAAAGATTTTTAAAGGGAAGACAACTATTTACCCTATGAAACCTGAAAGAAAAATCAATTTTATTTATAAAATCACAATCAGAATAAAAGAGTGCTAAAAGCAACCAATTATAAATCATGGGTTGGATAAGAAGCATATTCGTGTTCTATTGAAGTTAACTTTTTCTTATGTTTATTCGACATCATTTTCCAAAATTTCATTAGATGAAGCACTTATTTTTGATAATAATGTAGGACCATCAAATATGACGTTTTACTGCATTTTGCATTGTTATAACTTTAAAACCTATCACATTTTTTAAATTCTAAAAGCATATTGCGATGCGAAAGAAAAGAAGAAATTAAACGTTTAAAGAAAATTCCACAGAAATTATTCTGATTCCCATGCTTAACCAAATTAAAGTAAATAATTACCTAATTAAAGGATTTTTAATTTAATAATATTTCAAACTACACGAAAAATTTTCAGCAGTAATACACAAAAAATATTCAACTGTAATAATTATGACTAAAAGAGATAGATAAAACTAGCTTGGCAAAAAAATACAACAAAATATTTTTAAATATGCATTGTGTAAAAAATGTAATAATATATGTTCTAATAAAATATGTGTATCAATATCACAAAACGTGTAAAAAATAAAATAAACGAATCTGTAATAGAAAGCCCTGGACCATGCTAGACTTAAAAGTATCTAAATCATGTAATCATGAATAAATTTGTTTTAAATAAATGTTTAAAATGTTATAATAAATTGTTAATTTTAAATATTACTTGAAAAATGGTCTTATTAGCAGTGACATGAGAGTTCTTAGAGTACAAAAAATTCAATTAACTGTATTTTGAGCATGGAAACTTTCGAATACCTTCGAAAGACTTAGGTAAAATAAAGATCTTAATTTTAAATAATTGGTGGGCAAGACATAAGAATATGTATCCTTTCACTATATGCTGTTCAGAATATTTTAACTTAAGCATGCAGATATCACAATTATTTCAAATATATAATAATATACTTAATTAATATTCACAAATATACTTATTTTCAAATTTAAGGCTTCCATACGAGACTGTAGAAAAAAACAAAACGCATTGTTGCCAAATACGACCTCAGAAACTAGACCGTCGTGGACGAGATGATTCCAAATCGAGAATTCATATAAATAAAATGAATACATGTATTACCTACATAAACTTTCGGTCTGAAAAAGGAATATCCATTTCCATTTCAGTTGTATATATGCAATTCCTAAAAACCACATAGATTCTCAAAATACCGCGAAATGACCTTGTAAGCTTTATTCTAGCAAGGCTGAGAACACTAATAAATTAATGATGAAAGAAAGGTAAATAAGGAACTTGTTTTAAATATCCGCGCTAAAAGATTTCTTTTTCAATTCCACAAAAAATAAAGAAAATTACAGCGAATAACCATAACAAAAAATTGCAATATACATCCAAATAGAAACAAAATCAAAGTAAAACATATAAGTCAAAATACTTAGAAAGGCTTTTCCTAAAACAGCCCCATGTGAGGAAATTATAAGATATAAAATTGGCGGAATGGATTTTATCATTTAAGTCAGAAACACGTGAAATATATTAAGCTGTAAAGATGATATAGATTTTATAGCAAACATATAGTTACCGTGTTAAATGATAGTCATTTAAGGCAATATGCATGTCAGTAGTATGAAAGAAGTCTAATAAAAATCAATTTAATAATAGTTCAAATAAAACAGAAGAATAAATAAGCCGAAAGGCATAAATGATGAGGAGAAAATGGAATAAAATGCTTAGCACTATTTAGAAATTATTGAAACTGAAACAATGCGCTGAACTCCAAAAAGCAAAGACTCCAAGAAAACAAATTCATTTATTAAATAAAAGCCCCATGTAAATACGAAATAGATGTAATCAAATAATTAAAAAAACAGGTACCTAAAAGTAAACATAAGAAGAATGGAAATGAACTCGTGGATCTGATCTGATTCAGATCGAAGGGAATATTAAGAAACAAAAGCAGAATAACCTGGATAGGAAATAAAAATGCAAAGATATATGCTGATCTCTTTTTGCTTTTATGGCCTTTATTATCTAATTTCGTGAAAATATGATCCTTATAAAAATTTGTTTCAGTGTTCGTAAAGACGTGATGTGAAAGATAATTCTACATCTTCTTTATTTCGTATGTGACAGCTTTAAGTTAACTTTTAAAATCTTTCACGAACTAGAAGTTCTGTTGCCTGGAATACTGTTGAATATGATTATCAAAGCTCGGAGCTTTCGAGGAGTTAAAGTAAAGTTGTAAGGAACTACCAAAGTATGTACATAGTTAGGGGAAATATTATTGAATATTTTATTGGTTCTAACTACTAAGATATACTATTACCACAGAACTGCATTTATATATATAAAAAATTTGCTAAGGGATTCCATGACTGCATTTATCTTCAGTGCCAACTTCTTCGCAAAATCATATCAGATTTGTATACAATTTCTTGTTATTAAATTCAAAACTTAATCGTTTATCGTTCAGAAGACACTTATGTACAAAACGTGACTTCTTAAAGAACACTAAACTAAAGAAAAGAGCTTAAGAAGAAATTCCAACCTAATGGTAGTTATATAACAACTATATATTGTTAAATCACAATATAATAGAATATTGTGATTTTTGGCCGAATGTAGCTTTTGAAGAGCAAACCTCTAAAATGATCTCAATTGTTATGAATATGACATATTGTTTCAGATTTTATTAGTATTTTTCTTTCAGTTTTTATCAGTGAGCAAGCAGATTTAATGGAATGAAACCAAACAGTTCTGAAATTTGCTGCAAGTTGGACTTAAACGCACTCCATATTACCATACTTGTGCAGGCATCAGTAAAACACAATTACATTAGTCGGTGTTTATTCTAATTCTTATGGTTCTAGAAGCAGAGGTTTTATGTAAATATCTAAATTTTCAAAATCATTTTCTAAAACATACCGTTTCTTAAACAAGTAATCTCTTTCAGTAAAACCAAGAGAGAATTAGCTGTTGCATAAATAGTCCTCTGAAAAGACACTGGAAACAAGATTGATGTGTTTCCTTATTAAGATACATTCCTCCAGATTTGTCATATTAGTGTATCTTTCTAAACATATTTTCATTGAAGAATGTGAAAGTGTGGAGAACAGCGTAAAATTATCAGGAATAGTGTGACAAACAACCTAATGGTATAAAAGTGCGTAAATTTTGCATTTTTAAAATAGTATTTTAAAGCACTAGCGTCAGATCTTCTAACCTTCGTTTCTTCTCATATTTTGATTGCTATAAATGTTGTTGAAGTCGTAAGTACAGATATGTTTCATTTGAAACTGTCTTATATATTTAACACCTGAAGACCGAAATATTGCGTGTCCATTTATCTCAATTTGTGCGATTATTTTTTAAGACTTTAAAGCTATTACTTCACATAGCTTTAAGTTTTGTGAAGAACATGATGTATAAAACAACACAACCCATACACATTTTTAAGAAGCTATTGAAAGATTTTGGTCAGCAAGAGAAAACTAGAAACCTAACTGGTGAAATTTCTTTTGCGGATGTCGGGTTAATCTCCCGCACCTGTAAAATTAAAGTAATGTACTTAGAGCCAGATTAGTGCAAAATGTATATTCTGAGTGGGCTTTGAGTGTTCCAATGAGTGTGAAATAAGGAGAATATAGTATACCTGGAAAGATTTGAATTGTGAGTACAAAATATGAGAAACATAATTTGTGTAATTGTCACATATTTATGTTGTTCTGTGTGTCTCACATGACCGCCTAGTCTTGTATGATTACAGAAAACAACGTGCTTGG